TCTTCTTCCTTGGATAAATCTACAGTCTAGTACATTATTCTGTATATCTCAGTCTACATCATTAAAACTCTACACTAAATTATCTTCCTCTCTCCCCCTCCTCTGCTGCTGATTGGGAATTAAAAATCTGTCCAATACAGATAGCAAACTGCTCAGTTACTTGTTTTTCTAATAAACCTAAGCAGTGACCAGAAGAGGAAGATGAGATTGGGTTAAGGGAAAAAGATTCTTCAAAATTAATCTCATTTTAAAAATTTATCATGACAAGAATCATGAAAAGAACCCTAATGAGATCAACTGTTGTTGATTGGAACTATAAAAGAATGTGATGCGTATTTTGCTTCCTGAGAAAGACATGTATCAGAAGTCTCCTCTTGGCATACTGGATTTCCTCTGAATGCTGTCCCCTTTCCTAATGCAGACATGGAAGGTAGTGCAGAAATGTATCTTGTTTTAAGAGGGAACTGATAGGACACGGGATATGTATTAAAACAGTAAAGAAACCAGCCTGAGCAATGGAGAGATTTCTTCTGTTGTATAAAATCCTTGAAACAGTCTCCAAATAAAGTTACACCACTACACATAAGGATACACTGCCTTCATCTCATATCTAGGTTTAAAAGATAACTACGTACATAGCTAGACAACTTTTCTACTGTGAGATCTGATATGTTTTTAATTGTGCATATGAGACCCATGGGCTGCATCATGGATACAATTAGCAGCAGTTTTAACAAAATGTGCATCCTTTGTTTGCTTGAAGATGAACTCTGTATTTCTCCTCTTATTGCATACTCCTTTTCCAACCAAAGTAATAAAGCATTAGAAGTATAGGCAAAATAAAGGGAGACTCATAGATGGACTGCAGCTAACCTGAATGATCTTCCAGTTAAAGCCTCAACTTTTCTATCAGATGGGTCTTTAGGATCAGAGCTCCAAATAACAGAGATGGGTGATTTACAGTTCCCCATGATGTCTGTAGTATCTACTTGGGGTAAAATCTCTACAATATGCCTTTGTCTGTTAGAAGAGGATACTGTTTGTGCCTAATTGCTGGAGCTACACACTTTACACTGGGGGTTGTTCCAGATTCTGCATATCAGCTCCTGAACAGCTGAATGGACAGAAGGGATTTACGTACCATATAGGCGTCTTCTGAAGGTTATATTTGTTTTGTTTTAACCACAGGGTAGGGTCCCCCCCGAATATGCTTCAAGAAATAGTTTTAATTTGCCATTTAAAATGTACAGATGTGCTCATGCCACCTTTTCTGTAGCAACTACAAGTTCTTGCAAAAATTTACCACCTTTTACATCTGGAACTGGTATGTACTTTGTTCAGAGGAAACCACTCTTTGTAATGTCTTAGGATTTATCATAAGAGAACGCCCACCCTATGTAGAAGCCTCTGTAGTTTTGATCACAACATGACCATCTTATAAATGATGTCATTCATGAACATTTGTCAGATTCTGAGAAACCAGAACTACCACCACCGCCACCCCCACCAGAAGGAGGCTGCATTTTCTTAACGTGGTATCTGTGATTGTCTTCTGAAGCTTCAGAGCTGAGGTCTGCCATGTGGTTGAACCAATGCTGTCAGGAGATGCACTTTTGGTTAGCCTTTGCACATATGGGGAATACTGTCCTACCAGAGAATCTGACACATCACCGAATTATCTGAATTTTCAGAATGTAATTATTTAGAAACTCCTCAGCTTGCTGTTCAGTCCATATACTGTATTTCTTCTGGCAGAATGAAGGAGTGGTATTTATCCTCTAAGTATTCTGAAGACTGCCTGAGGTCTCTGATCTGGTTCTGACAGAAAAATCTCTACCCTCTGGATAGGTTGCTGCTTTGTTAAAGAAAGGACCTGCTTCTTCAGGTGAAACTGCTACATTTTCCCTTTTCTTCCTTGGCCCATTTTTGTTATTGTCCATGGAGACATGGACCTGAAGTGATGGAAGGATGTTTGAAATACTTGTGGATATGGGAGAATGTATTTGCTCACAGATACACACTGCATCGTAGTTTAGAATTGCCTAAGGTAACTGAGTCATAGAAGTCATTGAGTATAGCGATGGTGAGCTGCACAGACGATATAAACTCATATTTTGTAATTTGAACATACACTTGCATCTGCCCTGTCTCTAAAGAGAAAAGAAGCAAATCCCAAAATATCCAAATGGAAAATTTGGCCAAAAAAAATCCATGTGTGACTTATTTTCATTGTATCCACTGTTCAGGACCGTGCATTTACTCAACCAAACGGACTGATTGACAGTGGAATAGCTAATTTCACAGATTTACAAGCTAATTGTTTCAACATATAGACTAAAATCCTGGCTTAAGTCCCACATGGTAATACATTTAGAATGGAATTGTGCACCTTGTGAAAACCTCACCAGAGCATTGGTATTAATTTGCACAACTTATCCAGGGACAAAAAGGCACAACAGATAAAAGATGTATTTGAGGGGGGAAAATCCATCTGTGAATAGCTTGTCATTGCTTGATTGCTCTTGGCCAATGTTATTAGCCCATAGGTTGTGTAATTTGTAATGTATCCCAACAATTGAAATAAATAACAGAAACAAATTAAGATTAAAATGAAAGAACTATACAAACAACAAAGGAAATGAACAAAAAAATATAGGAGCTATTGTGGCATTCAGAATTATACTATGTATAACATTCTGCACCCAAATAAAATCCTATTATTCTATACAGATTATAAATGAGAAAGAAAATTGTACCACAGAAATAATAATTAAAATGTGATACAAAATAAAAGTAAAACAAAATACAAAGTACCAATTAGGAAACAGTCTTTTCTTAATTAACCAAATACTCTGAATTAAAATTAAATTAAATTTTTAAATTATATTACATGTTGCTGCTAATGTTAATTCACTAGTTGAAGTAGCATCTTTTGTGAGGCAATAGATGCAGCTAATATGTTTCTTTCTTTTAATTATGAACTGGCTTTGAGGCCAGATAAGAACAAATTGAACTAGTTTGAGATCATTTTCTGTTTGATAACCAATGAACTGTGATGAAACCAATCTTTTGCATTTCAGTTAGCTCTATAATTTTTGCTGTAATCAGAATGAGATGCCTACATTTCTCTGTATCCGATTATTACCCTATCAAGGCAAAAAGCAAAATTTGAGCATTAATGTGGTCTGTTGTGTTTTTATACGAAGCCTGGATTTATCTCTGGACATTCACATAGTCTGCTTTATTCCTGCCTTTAAAGGAATAAGGCAGAAAACTCAAATTATAAGAACACACACACACATGCACAGGCCTACCCCCCCCCATCACACCAAACACTGAAGCACATATACCAAGATATGTGAATGGAATAAAACCCTGGATCCAAATGTGCTTAAGTATTGGGATGTCAATACTGCAATTTGGATCCAGTTACTTTACATTTTCTTTTAATCATAATATATCATCCTAACATTCCTTACTTAGATTACAGTCCTTGCTCTCTTAAAGGTAAGTGGCAGTAATAGGAAAATTACTTTCTTCTGATAAAATATGCAGAGGAGGGCATCAGCAAGTAATACAGGGGCAGCGTGGTAACAAAGGTACCAAGGGAAACAAGATTTCTAAAGCTCCACCAGTTCTGTTCACTTCTTTTGACATTCCTGTATCAATGGAGATCCTGCACTGACTGTCTCCATGTGTACCACTATGCTATGTTTCCCTAGAATTATGGCACTCCTGACAGTTCAAATTCTCCTTAGAATTGATGCTTGTTGTAGGTTTTTCTGACTGTTTGGCCAAACAGCCCGAAAAACTGACAACAGCCATCAGATCACAGCCACAAAAACCTTAATATGTCTTCTTAGAATTACTAAGGGTAACAGGTTAATATTACAGAGTAACTAGACATGTTGATAATAAAGCCCTATGCAGACATTATGAAATTCACCTTCTGGAAGGAAGCACACACCATCCCCAACCCATCCACCTATGATTTTGCTATGTGCTGCTAAAGAGTGTCACATACAGTGTCATATGTACTGTAATCTTATTCAGGGTTCCCAATCACATGGAATTCTGTAAATTTATTCAGCTGAACGTGGTTACTGTTCCATTACATATCTCTATATCAACATGGATAGGCTGGAGGTGGAGAGATGGTATCAGAGGATGCATCCACACTCCGTTCCAGGAGTAGAATTTTATAATAGCTGAGTTATATCAGTGATTATGTCTGTGAAGTGAATTTCTACAACGTTGGATTCATTTTGTATGCACAACAATATAGTGATGCATGTCAGCAATATATCATTAATGCTGGCATCACAACATGCTTGATGATGCTGAACAGATGAAGTGATGAATATACCTAATATTAAATATTTATGAACAGGGTGTAATGCAGGGGTTCCCAAAGTGCATGCCATGGTACTAGGGGGCACCACAGGAGAAGGAACAGAACCCCCAAGTCATCATATTTCCTACCCTACCCATCCTGAAATTCCCAAAGGGCCTACCTCCTTTCAGATCTCAATGCAGTATGAGGCCACCAGCCTCCACCAGGGACCAGAGACAGGGAAAGGAGAAGTAGGCACATGACCTTGACTACTGTTTCCTGTTCACACAGAAAAAGCTCCTCTAAGCTCCTCTATGTCAAACAGGAGCCAGTCATGGAGGCTGTGTGCCTGCTTCTCCTCTTCTTATCTCTATGGTCCCCAGTGGAGGCCCTTGCTGGATGGCCTGTTTCAGGACAGGAAAGAAGGTAGGGCCTTGGGGACATCGGGGTGGGGAGGAGATGGGATGGCAGGGGTATGTCAAGATCCTGCCCCTGATGGCAGTGAGACCCCAATGACCCTTCTGAGCATGTGGCACTGTGGCCATTAGTCTTTTAATAAAGGGAGCTGTGACTCCAAAATGTTTGGATCCACTGGTGTAATAAATCTTCAAAACATACTGTTAACTTCACGTTGATATGACTAATAAGAATCAACACAATTACTCACCTGTATTCACCAAGTGTCCCATCATCATCTTTCATAGGCTGTATTTCTGGATCACCATGAGCATCTTCTTTTTCTTTCACTAGAAAACACCATTCAAAAAAACTTGAGTCTAGACTTCAGCATGCTTACAGAGCCCCACTGAAAGGCCAGTTTAGTAATAACTAGCTTCAGTCCTATTTATTTCAGAGCATGCCTGGACAGGTATTTAACTTGCTATTTGGATTGCTTTTGATGCTGTATATATTCCTACTGATACAGCAGTATCCTAGATAAATGAAATATATTGGTGGTATTATGTGTACCATATTAGGCACATGTAGTGCTGTTTTGCTAATTCACTTTATTTAATAAACAACAAGAAAAAAGGAAAGTTGCTGTGGCCCGGTGAATGATGGCTACAGGAAAAGGCAGGGTAAGGGAGAGTAATTAATCCAAAGGGAGACAAAATGGAGCGATTCAAACGCCTGTCTGGATCCTTCTCACAAGAGAAGAAAGGTTGATCAGCATGAATGGAAGGCTCACTCAAGTGAGAGATAAAATAGATTGCACTGATAAGATCATTTTAAGCATGAACTAGACCCGTGTGGACATGCTATCTGTTTGTTGTAAGCGTAACTAAATTGGTACCCAACCCAGTTTGTTGGGGTTCTGTAAATTCATTCACCTGAATGTATTTACTGTTCCAGTACAGGTCTTCCCCATTAATTGTGAGTTGGCAAAGAATCCTAAAAGAAATCAATCCAGGTTTCTGACTACCTTATTGAGCCAACCTGAAAACATTCATAGATTTTAAGATGAATGTGCAGTTTTAAGCTTTTGCACTTCTTCATGCATTTACCAAACATGGGCCATTATTACTGCTGAAATTTCTGTATGCAAATAAAGAAATAATAATTGCTATTTCTCCTAAAAGACTTGATGATCTGTATATACTTGCAAGATTACTGCTCTTATCAATGACATACTAGTGCAATTTTACTTCTAAGAGATGATGAGAATTGCATAAATGAAGTCAAAATTACAATCAATTTATACCAAACCAGAATGCAAGGAGTAGCATAATCAGTCCTGCATGCCCAAGTGTTTTCAGACTTTTTTTTAACAGTAGTACCCATTCTATATAAAAACTGTTTTAAAATACAAAGGTCTTTCATTTTAAAAACTATTTATGATATGGCACAGAGGCTTTATATAGAAATCGAGTTCGTAAAAATTCCCAGTAGTAAGTCCAACCAATTTGACACTTTGCTGTAAATAGTTGCAAATGGCCATAAACAGCAAATAATATATTATAATATTTACATAGAATTAAGGGTTACACTAATATGAATCTCACCTGGATATTTTCCTCCTTTATTCCTCCGTATGAAACAAACAATCAGCAAAATCAAGATGAGTAGAGCAACTGCACACATAAGACCAATGAACCATCCTTGAGTAGCAATGTCAACCTGCCGGCTTGCCTTTGCTGCCAGACAGAAAACATAAATTATTATACTCAAAGATCTAGCCATTATATTTCATTTACCCCACTTCTGTAAAGTTCCTCAGAATTGGCAATGCTTGTTGTTATAAACAATATATATAAATGATTTCAGATATTTTTCTGAGAGTATTTTATATTGAAAAGAATTTGAATAAATTCTTCATGTTGTTAAATTTACACCTCTGTCTTGTTCATTACCTTCAAAATGTAAAGATTTGTAATTATATTTTCTTCCACAGGATTTTAAACCTGTTTTGCTAATGGGTATCTATATGCAAAATTGGTAGTGGCCAATATCTTCATAAAATAAAAATAGTGGGCAGATATCTTGATCCAAAACTATGGCCTTTACCTTAAAAATATTATACTACAATCCTAAAACTATTCTCCTTATAAAAGAAATTACAAAGTCAGTTCAGTCAAACATGGTTTATGCATAGCAAATCAATTGATCTGTGGACTCTGGCAGCATGATCCCCTTTGAATGCATCGACTATTTCCCTCAATGAAAAGAAGAGCTGAACATGATTTCTCATGTAGATACAGTACTTATTGACTTCTGAGACTTTTTAAAACTCGAAAGTATGTATAATAAAAACCCTTTTTATTCCTTTTAAATAAAATCCAAAGGCTAATGCAGCTGTCTGTCTATCATCATTTGGATTTTAGATGAATGTCACATAATACTAACATTTAAATAACATTCATTTTCTTAACAGGTTAAGGGAAACTGGGGTTCTCCATACATGCAGAGATGCATAATTAAAATTTTAGTATCAAACGATTTAGGAAGACAAAACGTACATTTAACATTCAAATGCAGTATGAAACGTCATGCCGTATAAACAAAAGAAGCCATGCACAACATACATCACATAACTAGCAAGCAAAAGTAGCCACTTACTTATGCAGCTTCTGATATTTGTATCACTGTATGTATATCCTGCTAGTATAGGATTCTAAAAGCCAATATTGTGTTTCTAAACTACAGAAAATTGTGTAATTCTGCTATACTAATAATTCACTTCAAGGAAATTGTATTTTTTCTTTGGCAAATTACAGAAGCTGCCAACACATTTGAATCATATATTTTACACTACACTTAAAATGAAAGTATCTTGTTTGATGAAAATGTCTGATAAGAATCTTCTACAGATTGCCAAGCATGTTTGAGAAACTTAGTCTAAGGATATAGAGATCCAACAGAGAGAAACTCAGCTTACTGGATGCCACCACTAGAGAAGAGGGTGTGGGTGGGCAATTTTTGACTATGTCTTTTCCCCAGGCAGCTCCCTTTGCACTCTGAAATGCTGCTACAGTATAGAGAGCTGAAGGAATGGCTGTAACAGTGTAGGAGGGAATGTCAGGGGAAAGGGAAACAACTGAAAAATGTCTCCTCCCTCTTCAACTTGAGCCTCAGCAGGATCTCAAGTCTCCCTCAGGCATGAAAAGAATGCCATGGATGCAACCTACTGTGGTGAAGCAAAAATTTAGATGCTGAATTATTCCATTCAGTTTGAGATGCTGCCAATGTTTTGTAAAGTTTACTTCTGTGCAGAGGCAAGGTAGCAGGTGCTAATGCTCTTTCTTCATATATATATTTTTTTTTTGGCCTTCCCAGTAAAAATATCAATAACCCCCAGGAAAAAAAGAATACTAAGCCAAAGTTCTCCTTAGGAATGTAGAAGGCTTTCCACATCTGTTCACCTAACCCAGTAGTGAAACTGGCAGTGACTCACTAGGCTTTCAGGCAGTTTTTTCCAGCTCTGACTGGCAATGAAGATAACTGAACTTGCAGGCAAAGCATGTGCTGTTCTGCTGAGCTACAATTATTCTATACTGGTCCGTTGCTTGCTCATCTCTATGCTTCCCCTAAAATGCTCCTCCTTAGCCTTTCTTCATCACAGGGACAGCAGCAGTAAGGAAATCAGATGAGATGAGTGGAGGTTGATTTTTTCCTCTCTTATCTTCTCATCACTAGTAGTGATGGGGCACAAGGGTCCGTGGGTATCGTAGTTCTCCAAAGAAAGCACATATTCACGTATATTCAATAGTGGTATCCATGCCGCTATTGAGGCTGCACATTACAATAGTGTAGAGTGGATGCATTGTATCAGCTGCAGCCTGAGCAACCATGTGCCTGAATGATCTCATATGTAGTGTAAAGGTTGCTTAGGAACAAACCTATTTGGTTTGGATGTTTGGTTCTGCTGGTGGCTTCTCCCCAGCTTCAGGTCTTCAGGTATGACATTGCAGCCCCATTTATTTCACAAAACAAGTCAAAATATCAATTAGTTTTTTCAGCAAGACTCCAAGTAACGTCTTGCACTGTCATCTCGAGGATTTCACTTAACCGCTACACAGAAAACTCTGGGTTTTATTGCTAAAATTTCTTCAGTTTTGCAGCAAGCCTAGAATTTAGTTGGAAAAGTATCATACAGAACATGTAGCCTTTGGACAATTAATACCAATTATTGAATTAATTTTATGTACTTTGTCTAGGAACCATTTAAAAATATCAGATATAATTCAAGAGCTATTTTGTACTTTTTTTAAAAAAAACATAATGGTTTAACAAAAATATATACTGCCTCTAATCTAGAAATGTTAGCATTGCCTCCCCCTCCGCCACTGATAAACAATCAGCGTTATCAACTCTGACATCACTGGAGGAAAGAAAGAAGAGGAAAAAATGCTCCCCTACAGCAGAGTTCACTAGTTCTTACAAAACTCACAGTGCAGACTATGGGTTAGATCCACAGCACAACCACTCCCTTAAGTTAGATCCAGAACTGACCCTTGTCTCTCTGGCACAGCGAACAGCAATCTAGCAGAACCCCATCAGAAGAAGTGAGTGGAGATGTGTACCAATTCCACTCCCCCACTGGAACACAGATTGCTGCAGGGGAAAGGGAGTTGGTGAAAATAGCCTCTGTCTCTTCTACCTGTGAGACTGTTCAGTTTCCAGTGTTGCATAGAAAACAAGTCTGGACCCACATACATGAATTTTCTACCGTATTTGAGTATATGGTGAATGCAAGTTTTCTCCCACACAGCATAACAGATTTTGTTCGTTTGATTTATTTGTTCTTCACCCTCCCCTTTCATGTTTTTACATTGGTCCTTTTTAACAGGGTAAGCTCCCTTTAGTCTTTCTGAGTGAAAAAGGTGGGGTACAAATATTTTCAATTAAGAAATAAATAAATGGACTTTTCTGCATACTCAGAGTACTTCATGAAGAACAATTCATGGAGCTTCTGCTCACATATCACTCTTAAATGACCAGAGCACATCATTTTTATATTTTTTTCTGAACAGACACTTTTATCTCTTTCTGATAATTACTACACTTTACAAGATGAACATGCATTTGGCTTTCTAAAAATTGTACTGAACATGCAATTTTTTAAAAAAAAATATGAACAAAAGTATAGACAGTAAATGCTAACATTTGTTTGTGTCAACACTGCACAATATAGCATCCAGATGTTTCTAATAAAGCAATGCCTTAAATGATTAGATAATCTAACACAAAGACCCCTTCATTTTTCTTCATCCAGAATATTTCATATGAAATATTTTGAATCCCATATGGATAGCCTGTTAGGTGGCATCATTGGCCCAATGGAAATTCAAATTTAATAGATTTTTGTTGATTGTAAAATTAGAAGAAACTTCTGTAACAGATTTGGTTTAATCTCCCGAAACCTAACTGTTCTTAAAATGTTTTGTGATCCATAATAAACAATGTACCATCAATTTTTAAAAGGGCCCAATAAAAAACAATGAGAACTTTATCCTTTCCTAAAACAAACAAAAAAGAGACAGAATTAACTAGAAGGAGATATTGGAACATATCAATGATATGCTGACGTGGGTATGGGATGAACATTTCAGTTCTATTTTAAGAGAAAAGAAGACATGAAAAGACTGTGATACAATGTAACACTAGCTCCAAAGTTCAGCCCTTAACACAATTCTGAATGTAAGGCAGAACTGGTATGGTGTGCCTCACCTGGGCCTGTCTGAAACACAGCATCTAAACTCTCAAAACCAGGACCCTCAGCACCAACCCGGACTTTATATGATGTTCCTGGTGTTAATCCCTTTAACACATGGAAGCTCCGCGAACCATTAACATGTTCTTTTTTCAATTCTTCTTCGCCTACAAAATTTTTAGGAATACAATATATTGGAATATTTGAATTCACTCAAAATTAAAGTTTTATTTCTTACTGATATTTGGTAAAAGTTAGGCTACCCTCTTAAACTATGTTGTTATTTCTTAACATGCAATACTGAGTTAATCACAAATTAAATATAATCCTATTTTTCATCTACCTATTTTTTCATCTGTTGTGGATATTATTTACTTTTATTTCTCATTAACTGCTATTTACTTTTTAGCAGTCTGTCAAAAATACATTTCTTAGATTTTCTTACTCTGTTAATTTTCCTAATAGCAATAAAATGAAAGGAAGGCATCCACATGCAGAAGAAATCTGACTTTTAGGCATCAATACTGACTAGCCTATACCTTCCTTGATTAACAAAAAAAAAATCCAATAAGTATGTCTGTTACATCTTCAAGACTGTTAAAAAGTGAAAGGACATGAAACCAGAAAGGATTCCTCTGCAACTGGACCTGACAGGCTAAGGAAAGTGTCATTGCCCACCACTCGGAAATTCAACAGGCACAACTAATGAAGTGCAACTCCTTAGCTACATGAATAAAATTTAGTAACATAATTTTACAGTACAGTCAATATAAATATAATTAGTAAAACTGGTCACCAGCTGCACACACAAAGCCAGTGGTGGTCAACCTCCCAGGGTCCCAAGGCTTACCTATGCATCTTGAAGGGCTGCTCCCACTCCCACAATCTGATACCCACCATTTTTCTTTAAATTCCCACTGAAATAGCCCTCTTATTCCACTTAATTGCCCCCAAAAGGTTTTAATTAAAGTGTTTTATTTTTTAGGGTGAGGAGTTTGGGGGTGCTAGAAGGCATAAAACAGCAAAATTGCCTTCCATGCCCCCTTGAAGGTAAAAAATTGTTTTTACTTATGGGATATGTAGAGGACCTGGAGGGGTACCGTAGTCATATTTAGTCCCCTAGGGACTGCCCTTTACCCACTCCTTTTGTAAATCACAAGAAGAAAGTATTAGAGGCAATATTTCCCTGCCCTTTTATCAAATTAGATGAGGATCGATTATGTTAATTAAGCTTATGCACATATCTTCAGAAAGGGATATTTATTATTTTGATGTTACTTTAGCCTAATTTAACACAGGAAAACAACACTATATGTGCTTTAAAGAGGCAAGCAACATTTATCCAGAAAAGAATTACATACATATTACTTCTGCATGACCCAGAAATCTTGCTCTCTTTATTAAAATGCAAAACTAATTCTTGAAAAGGAAATATTGCATCCTTTTCTATTTTTAAATATTTTAAAATCTATCACAGCATATAGAAGAATTCAATGAAGTGTCTTCTTACTGCCTGCCACACCATATTCAATATAAATGTTCTCATGAAATGGACCCTCATACTCCCAAGTGACATTGGCATAGGTCTCAGCAGCAGCTGCCGTAAGATTTTTGATGCTTGGGTACACTGGTTGCACTAATGCACAAGAAAAAAAGAGCAAAATAAGAAATGCTGTAAGCATCCAATACAATCCAATTTTAACTAATTCACTAATCTGAAGCTTATGAAATAGAATACTGTTCTTGTTTCTACCCTGAAAGAAAGGAAGAATTCAGACTTACCACGAATTCCCATTTGCAGTAATTCTGAAGTGGAACCGTTTCCAAAGAAAGCACCTCCTCTTGGTTGTAAATGGCACCAAGCAGTGGAGCTTCCCATTAACTCCCAGGCTGAGCCCAGACCATGAACAGGCCCCTACCATGAACCAGAAATTGACAGAGTATCTACTAGTAGCATGAAGCAATTACAGCAAACACTGTAATTAATGAGAGTAGTAAAAGGAGAACATAGTGGACAGGAAACACCCAGAATTCTACTGCAAATACAGTATGTGTGGACTTCACAGTAAGAGATGATTTCCCCAATCATAGCTTTGGTGAGAGTTTGCAGGCAGAAAGGGAGAAGATGTGGTGCCTGAGCTTATGACATCAACATGCATATTGCGGGGGCAAGGGAGCTGGGGACTTGATCCATATCTTGGGACCAAGCCCTACCTACTGCCTTATCCTGGAACCAATGAAAAATAGAAATATACAGAAAACATGCTTTTACTCCTTTCTAGTCAATGTAGAGTGGGGAAGTCTTTGGAGATGTACAAAAGAGTATATGCCAAGGGCAAGGAGATTTGGTTGCATTCTGGAGAACTTTCCCACCAATACTGTCATTAAAGTCAATGTGATCATGTGTAATGGCAATTACAAATGTCCAAGTCACAGTCTTGCATCTGGAATCCATGGATGGGCATCTTCTTTGGGCTATCAAAATAGCAATATCATTAAAGGACTGAACTTTGATGATAATGCTTTTCACTCCAGGAAAAGATATCTACTCTTCCTAGGATTTCATATGCTAAAAAGAGTAGCAAGTTGGCATTTTTTATTACTCAAGACTTTCAATGTAGCCATAAAATCATGAGTGTATGTTTTGTATGTTTGTATGTTTTGATTCTCATTGATTTTCCCTCGATTTAGATCCTCACTGATTCCCCCTGCCCCCAGATTTATACCATGTGTTATATATTGTATAGTCAATAGTTTGCATGAAGAAACTTAGCACTATAAGAATAAATCATTTCTAATCAACAGTTCCTCCAAGCTATTAGGTATTCTTTTCCTTTTAGGAGTTGCTCCATTGGACTTGAAAGAGTACACTACAAAGACATAGAAGACACTACAGGTCCTGTTATGATAACTAAATGAGATCTAGAAAGCATGTCATCATGATCCGGAATGACGGGAACCAGAAATGATCAGTGCTTAATGAATTCTATATTTTTAGAAATAAGCTTGATAAGAGATACATGCATTAGTCCCATTAGCTAAGTGATGGTTATCACCTATGCAGGTCGGAAGACACACTTTTTCTGTAAAGTTATGAAGATGGTGCGTTCAGCAATTTGAAACCACTGACAGACACTGTGAAAGTCTCTAATTTCCCCAGTCTTTGTGTTTGGCAGAGATCCCCACTTGTCGTTTATCCTAAGGTAACAGTCTGATGCGATTTCTGTTCGGAAAATCTGATGTATTTGTAAGTTTGGACATACATTCCAACCTTTCAACACAATACACTGTTTTGCCTAACATTCTGAATGGTTTATCATTACATATTCCCTTCTATCTAATCAAACTTGCCTGGTATATGAGTCCATGCTTCCTTCCCTCTGAGCCAATTTCTGTTCAGAAATGGCACAGGTAGTATGAAAGAAACTAATTTCCCAGTCCTTGTTTTTTGGAGGAGATTCTTCTTTTTAGTTTATCGTAAGCAACCACAGATGGCTGCAACGAAGGAGCAACAACCAAACAGGAGACTCTGACCTATGGAACTGATCCTTGGCATTGGTTGAGTGGCTGTAGCATTGTCTTCCTGCCCTTCTTTTATATGTGTTTTAGTTATTATGGGTAAAGAGGGAGCCTTCAGCACCTTTTAAGGTTGCCCTCTCTGATAAGTCACATGAATAAGAAGAGTGCTTTGCACACTTTGAACGTAAGGCATTTGATTCAAATTAAAAAGTCTCAGAGAACATTTGATTCTTTAGTGTGGAGAATGGAAGAGCAAGCTACCTCAAATGGTTCCAAAATAGAAGTCATAATCTCAAAACATGGGATGCCCTGAGGTTCAATAAGACAGGCCACATTATTTGTATCTTGTCCCTCCAAGCCTAAAATTGGTGAAAGGATCAACTTAAATAGCACTTGGTGAAACCAATTGGACAATCAATGGATTTCTGAGGCTCCATCTTTTCACATAGTGGGTCTAGATTGCAGGAAATGAGCAAAGCATAGGAAAATGGGAGTGAAGACTGATCCATTGGATCATTCTTTCTCCCAGGTTTAGTATTAAGGTTTCTCTCTTTATTTACAGCATATTCTAAAACAGAAGAGATTATGGGGAGAGACAGAAAAAAAGTATTTTAAAAATGAATAATTCTTGCATAGCTCATTGATAGGCCTCATCATAATCTTCATGTTGCGTGCTAACAAGGCAAGACAAGTTTGGATATTGAAGCTTAGGTTCAACCCCACCTCATTTTATTTTGGGAAAAGGATTTCATCTGAGGCCTGGTAATTTTATGTTGTCTGTTGCACTTGAGAATCACTGGTGACTCTTGTATAAGCCCCCTCTCCTCACCAAGTATCTGATATGGTAATACACATACTTCAATATCATCAATTTACAATTCAGTGGCAACTATATCCTGGTCAATTCACTAGGACATTTTCATATAAACAGGCATAAAGTATGGATTGCATGTCTTTGGCCTCTACTGTTCAATGATAAATTGAGAGACTAGAAATTAAGACAATCTGTAAAGCAGACTTCCTAAAATTAGATTTAATTACCGTATTTGCCAGCGCACAAGGCGACCGGCCGTATAAGACGACCCCCCCCAACAGGAGGAGGAGGAAGAGGGGAAATGGGGGGGTGGGTAAGTGAGTGTGCGGCTGGCTCAGCGCCGCGGGGCAGCGGGCAGCCCGGCGGCGGCTCAGGCATGGCAGCAAGAGGGCGAGGAAGAGCAAGAGGCTGAGGAGGAGGAGGAAAAGGGAAACAGGTGGGTGGCAGGCGAGCGAGCACGCTGGGCTCAGCAGCGAGAGGGAGAGGAAGAAGGCAAGAGGCTGAGGAGGAGGAGGAAAAGGGAAATGGATGGGCGGCAGGTGAGGGAGCGCGCAGCTGGCTCAGCATTGCGGGGCGGCGGGCAGCCTGGCGGCGGGCTCTGGCCGCTCAGGCATGGCAGGCTGTGCTTCCCTCCATCCATCCAGACCGACTGCCTGCCTGCCTGCCTTCCTCCCCGGCCAGTGCGGCCCCGCGTCATTCAGTGCACCCGGCATACAAGACAACCCCCCCTTGGAGGTATGTTTTTTGGGCTCAAAAAGTCGTCTTGTACGCCGGCAAATATGGTAATTTTCCATTGTTTTTTGGATTCCAGAGGTAGTGGAGATGAGTTGCCTGCCTGTCTTCCTCCCCAGCCAGCACAGCCCCGCGTCATTCAGTGCACCCGGTGTACAAGATGACCCCCCCACTTGGAGGCATGTTTTTTGGGCCCAAAAAGTCATCTTGTACGCCAGCAAATACAGTATGTAGTTTAACTGGAAAAAATATAGGAACATGCATACACATGACTTCCTTTAATGTTGTAAATGTTCATTTGTAAACTTCATATTCTATCTGCAGTTCTTTTCTAGTGAAAGTTACATTTGAGTTGTTCTCACTGCAATTTATACTGATAAAGTAAATAGTAATACCCTTATAAAATGTTGGAGGCATAGTATGCATAACAGGGGAAATTTCAGGATGATTGTCTGAATATCCTTCAAGAGACAAGGCAGGAGAGAAGAAAACAAAGAATAAAAGGACTTCAAACACCACAGTACCGTTTTATCTACTAAGAAGAAATGCATGTCTACAAAAACATCTATCCAGGTTCTTTCAGAGATTCTGCACTTGATACAATAGGAGAGCAAGTTACAAAAGCAAGCAGAAACATAAAATTCATTGTTTTGTTTTATAAGGTAACTTGCAATGTTGAACAACTGGTCAGAAGAGACCTTGTTCTGTTTCTTCTCACTTTCCTTGAAGATAAAAAGCTATAAATGTTCAAAACAACTTTCCTATATGGGAGACATGCAGATTTCCACTGCTGAAATACTGAAAACTGTGCACAAAACCAGATTTTATGTGAATACTGTGGCAGAAAAATACGTTACTATTCAGGTTTACAATCCAAAAAATACAGACAGCACCATGTAAAAGACCCTCTAAAGAATTACAGATATGCCTGTACCACAAGGTCCCCCCAGGCATCAGATTTTGGTGCCATCAATTGTGAAATAATGAAAGAAAGCAGGAATTGGACTATGATACAAACTGCCTTCCAAGATGGAGTGTTCTATTGCTGAACAGCTCATACCACCAGGACAATCTTCCCTATGCTTAATTAAAATTCCTTTTCCTGTACTTTGAACGTATCCCACACTTGGACATTTTGCTTTTTCCTAGCTAAATACAGAATTTTACATTCAACTTCTGCTACATTTAATTTGTTTTGCACTCTATTCTATCAACATTGTCTTGAGTCTTCTTTCTACCCCCTTCTGGTATCAGCAACTCCTCCCAGTATGGCAAGCATTTTGCTCAGTTCTTTAGTACTAACCACTTATAAAGTTTCCCAACAACAGCGCCTATAACAGGATCCCGTGATAGCACACTTCTCTCCAGAAGGACAAGAAGATACTGATGACAATTTTTAGGATATGGTGAATCAACTACATAGCCACAGAACATTAGTATTATCTAGCTAATATTTATAGTATTATCTAGCTAATATTTATAAACTTGTCCACAAGAACACTGTGACAAACCTGGTTGATAGCTTTTCTGAAATCAAGATAAACTACATTCTCAGCATTTCTGATTTATGAAATAACTAGATCTATCCATTTAGAAGCAGATGGGGATGAAGATGAAGGAGGAGGAAGAGGAGAACAGGCAAAGACTAATGTTGGACTGATTTTTAAAAAACTATGATGGCTCTTTATAATCAGAGCATGATGAAGCAGTTATAGAACTAGGAAGAAAACATTGCTTGATTCTTCTCTGATGGTTGTTGTGGGTCTTCCGGGCTGTTTGGCCGTGTTCTTAAGGTTTTTCTTCCTAACGTTTTGCCAGTCTCTGTGGCCGGCATCTTCAGAGGACAGGAGTCAGAACTCTGTGCTCTGTTGCAGCTTGTTGGATAGTTGATTATTTATAACTGTGGGATCAGTTTTTGTCCTTTTCAGGAGATTGGGTGATTATAGTGATCAGCATGTTTTTGTGGGTGGATTGTTGTGATAAGGGGGGAAGATGATCTGTCACTGTGACTGATGGGTGTCAATAGCTAGTCTTTTGTGTGCAATGCTCACCGATCCTTGTGGCTGGGTAGAGTTTGTTGACCTTTTGCAGGCTATATTTTTCAGTGCTGGGAGCCAGGCTTTGTTGAGTTTTAGCCTTTCTTTTTTTTTTTTTGTTGAAGCTGTGCTTGTGTTTGTGAATTTCAATGGTTTCCCTGTGCAGTCTAACATAATGGTTGCTGTGTTTTGAAATAGATTTTCATGTCCAGCTTGTTTTAAGGCATGTTCAGCTACTGCCAATTTTTCCAGTTCTTTAGTCTGCAGTGTCTCTCATGTTCTTTGATTCTGGTGTGGATGCTTCGTTTTGTGGTTCTAATATATACCTGTCCACACTGCAAGGTATCTGGTATACTCCTGCAGTGGTGAGGGGGTCCCTTTTGTCCTTTGCTGACTGTAACATTTGTTGTATTTTTGTGGTGGGCCTGAATACTGTTTGTAGGTTGTGTTTTTTCAAAAGTTTTCCCATGCGGTCTGTGACCCCTTTGATGTATGGCAGAAATACTTTATTTGTGGGTGGTTGTTTTTTCTCTTCAGTTTGGTGTTGTTTTCTTGGTTTGATGGCTCTTGTAATTTCATTCTTGGAATAGCCATTTGCCTGTAGGGCCCAATTCAGATGGTTGAATTCGGTGCTGAGAAATTGAGCTTCACAGTTCCGATTTACATGGTCTACCAGTGTTTTGATTATGCCTCTTTTTTGTTGTGGGTAGTGGTTGGAGTTTTTGTGTAGGTCTTGGTGGGTTTTCTGTAGACCTTGTGTCCCTATAGGAGGTCAGTTTTGCATATGACCATGACATCTAAGAAAGGGAGTTGGCCCTCTATTTCTTTTTCCATGGTGAATTGTATATTTGGGTGGATGCTGTTAAGATGGTTTAGAAATTCTTCCAGTTTTTCTTCACTGTGGTTCCAAATTGCAAAGGTATCATCCACATATTGGAACCAGGTTGTGGGTGCAAAGGGTGCTGAAGCCAGGGCCTGTTTTTTGAAATGTTCCATGTAGAGGTTTGCTATAACTGGGCTGAGGGGGCTCCCCATGGCCACTCCATCTGTCTGTTCATAGGACTCGTTATCCCACTGAAAGCAGCTGGTCGTTAGGCAGTGTTGGAAAAGGGCCTTGATGTCTTCTGGAAAGACTTACTGGATGAGTGTCAGAGTGTCCGTTATCGGTACCTTGGTGAATAGGGATACTACATCAAAGCTGATCAATCTGTCCCTTGGGTTGAGTTTTAGGGTGCTGATCTTGCTTATGAAATGTCCTGAGTCTTTGATGTAGGATGAAGTTTGTCCAATGTGGGTCTGTCGGAGGGTGGCTAGGTATTTTGCTAATTCATATGTTGGGGAGCCAATGGCACTTACAATGGACCTGAGTGGGATTGAGTTTTTGTGGATCTTGGGGAGTCCGTATAGTCTTGGTAGGAGAGCTTCTGTCTTGCAGATTCGTTGAAGGACATTGGGGTGCAGGGAGGAACTCTTGAGCAGCATGTTTGTTTATTTTGCGATTTTTTTGGTTGGGTCCCATTTCAGATTTCTGTAGGTGGTGGCGTCTAGAGGATTCCCTGATTTTGTCTTTGCATTCTTCTGTTTGCATTACTGTGGCGTTGCCTTTGTCTGCTGGCAGAATAACAATGTCCAGATCTGAGTTTACGGACTTAATAGCATTTCTCTCCTTTCTTGTTATGTTACTTTTTGAGGGTTTTGCTTTTTATAGGATCCTTGTCACTTCACCTCTTATTTCTTGTGTTTTTTCTTCTGGACGATGATATAATGCTGATTCCACGTTGGCAATGATGTTTTCCACAGGAATTTTACTGGGTGTGGCTGCGAAGTTTCCTCCTTTGGCAAAGATCAAGGTTTCTTCCGGGGAGATTTGGCATTCAGATAGGTTGATGATAATGCATGAGGTGTCTAGTGAAGGTTTTGGTTGACTTGTTTGTCATTTGTTGAATTTCTGTTTTTGTCTGGCTGTGTGGTTCACTGTTTCTTTTTCCATCATTCTGTAGGAGAGGGTATCGATCTTGTCCCAATCTTGACTTCTCATTTTTTGGCTGATATTGATGTGTAGGAATAGTAGTTCCTTAACATTTCTGCTAGGCTGCAGAGACACAAAAACCATACCAGCCTTCCTCAGGACAAAAAGGACCTTCATTTCCTCACAGGCTAGCCGTATCTATGACCGCCTGGAACATGCCATCCTAGAGGAAAGAATCCACAGAACCCACAAAAAACTGGACTCCACAGACAAAGAACTACTATTCATTCTATCCAATACCTCAAACTGGGTATCCTGATAATTCAATTCAATTCACTCCAAATAAACAACATTAAAAAGTACTGCATCATTATAAAAGTTAAAATAAAACTGTATGTTCTATGTAGCCTACAGCTGAAAGCAACAAACCGAGGAACTAGGACGACAAATGAGCTGTAACTTAGGCTACAGTCCTATGTACATTTTGTAGCACAGTAAGATCCAATAATACAATAAACTTTACTTCTAAGTAAACATGCACAGGACAACTCTCTGAGTTCTACTTAAAAATGTTAAATCACAGCTCACTCAGTGTTAGCTGCTTTCAGTAAAACACAGTCAAGACTAGCTTTCTTATTAAGTTGAAACATTTCGTTACTCATTCAAGTAGCTCAGTCTGAGGAGAGTTGGCAGGAGACCCGGACATACCCTCCATATTGGTTTCATTCCCCCCTGATCTGAATAGGCTCCTTAGAAGGATAAAGGATGGGAGGGGGTGAGCAAAAATCCCACTTCTGCAGTCCTTTTCCACCCATTGTCATGGGTCATTAACAGTCGTTAACTGTGGTCTTTCTGGTGGGTGTGGTCCTGATCTTTCTGGGGACAGATGAAAGGGCAGCATGATAGATAGGATGATAATCTTAACCCTCCCCAGAAAGATCAAGACCATGCCCACCAGAAAGATTGTCATTAACAGTCCCATTGTTAAACAGAAAGAAGTCAAGTTGCCACGACTCAGCTTCCAGATAACCTCACCTGGATGACTGAGAATCTTCACAGATATAAGTCAAGACTAGCTTAGTTGAAATCCATTTACAAGCTTAACCAAATTCCTGGGTCAATCCATATCTTACGCTAGTTATTCTACTAAACAAGAACCTTCTAATGCTAATCTTTAGATAATTTTGAACCTCTGATAGAGATACAGATGAGATGTCTGTTGGTAATACAGCAAATACATGAAAGATATAAGTTGCAAGAAAACCTAGAGTCATATATTGTATTTCTTATCACAGGTATGATGATCATTTTAGGAGGAGAGGGAATAACTATGGGTTGACAACAGAGGAAAGAAACGGGAAATTCTGAAAGTATTTTATGGGTTGATGAAAATGCTAACATTTCTCCTCTAAATTTCAGCTGGTAAATTTTGTGCTAGCCAAGTGAAAACTGACCATAATGTAGAAGAAGCAAAATATAAATAATGCTGAGGTGTAATGACAGTCATCTATTTTAGCAAATATCATTATTTTCTAGATTTATCAGAAACACGCAGTAACTATATGCTCCACAGAATCTAAGCATCAAATTTCAGAGTTGTGACAAGTGGAAAACGTATATCTTAGCAACAATCTAAGAAGAATGATCCTGGGGAATGATTGTGGGCAATGAACTGAGCATGTGATAGACAAAATGTGGAACTTGATCATCAAAGCCTTGTATCTAAATTCAGACACTGAACTTACATGCTTTGGGAAAGTAAAATTTGGTTTGGATCACAGAGTATGTATGTTAGAACTGGAATGTATGAGGAAAGGTAGTATGTAAGAACAACAGTTTCAGGTGAAAATATATAAAAGTTTGGAGGAAAGTACAGATAATCAGATTCTGCAAGGAACAGCTGTAATGTTGTTTATCTGTCATTGTATTTTATTGAAGTGTCTGAATAAAGCTAAATATTCACCTAAGTCCTGGGAGAAAATTGAAATTTAGGTGTTGAGTAACTCATCGTGTTTTGAAATTCTGATTTGAAATATTGCAGACAATATCCCAATAACACATCACTTCAGTGGTGCAGTACGCAAACACGTCTCATGCTGGTGTACCATTAAATATACTATTAAATCACCTTTGCTCCTATTCTTTTTCGTTACATGTTATGCTAGTAATTTTAGCTGTCTAAATTTAATCTTAAAAGGTCTATAATCTCGGGGGGGAAAAGTATATTCTACTGTCAGCCTACCCTTCTTGCTTGACACAATCACGATTCTATGGGCATAATTTATGCAATAGGAGTTTCGCTAAAATCCTGCCATGCCCAGACTCCCCCCCCCCCAGACCTCTCCTGCATCAGTGAGAATTCCTGTCTTTTTGCAAAAATGATCCCTGGTCTTCTTTTGCCTCCCCCCCGTTTTTTGTTTTACACATAAAATCAATAATTTTGCGCAGCTTGATGCCCCTTCTCATAAATCTTGTGCAGGAATGATGTCCTTCTGCATGAAAATTGTAAAAATCCTGTGCAGTTTGGTTCCCCCACCCCTTTTCCATTCCAGGTGAATCCTATCTAGGAGAGAAGTGAGTCTGTATGGGAATTGTAACAAGCTTGTGTACCTTGGCATTTTTTTCCAGAAAAAAACGACCACCAAACTTCTAGAAATCCTCAAAGATTTCCCAGAAGATTTCTCAGAGAAAAACAAAAATTGCACAAGAAATCAAATTGCAAGAAGAACATGGCATGCCTTGTCAGTTTCTCCCAAGAGTGAGAAGCTGCAAGATTCTTTTCCCTACTTTAATTATACATGCTGATTAACTGAAACCCTTCCTTTGCTTATACTTAATTTCTAGGATACTCCATTCACTTTGCCTTTAGAGGGCACTCAGATACCAGAAGGCTTTGTGTAGCCAACTGACAGGTGATTTTGCATCTCTCCCATCACAGGAATGAAACTGAGGCAGTGGAGGGCTTCTCCTCCTCCTTCTCTCTTAGCAATGGCAGCCATGACTTGCTTATGGGGCCTCTGATGGAGGATGCTGCAAACTACTGTAAACTTTCTTATGGTCACCACTGTTATCAAAAGACAAGATGAGCCACAGGGAAAGGAGCCACTCTCACAGCACAACCTCGTCTGTTCAATGTAATAAATGGTGGTTTGACCACATAATGTAAAGAAAAGAAAGTACATTTTTTATTTCTAAACCAATGTGGCAGGTCTCATCTTAAGGATATGAACAGTTGCCTAATAAACATTTTCCTTCATCTCTTCAGGGATTCATTTAAGTAATTCTACAATTCTTCCTTCTTACCATATATATTTTTAAAATCTGTTTAGAACCTAAAACAAATCCGCACAATGTTTTAACTTCATTTTACCTTTACTTCCACATACATCAAGTAGGAGAATATCAGGATTAATAGTGGAAAATAAAAGGAGGTCATTATAATTAGATACAACAAAAGGACTGTAAGTATCAATATATAGTATAAATCTACACATTGAAATTAAAACACAAAAGCATGCAGTTAAACAGAAAAGTATCAGAAATAGGAAGGAAGAAATTAAACATCAACTTACATTTTGAAAGCAAAAGCTTATGTTAATATTTATTGTTTTTTATTCTACACTGTCAGTCAATTTTTACAATACCGGCAAGAATTCTGTTGGTAATTTTTGTGTGAATAAGTTAAACTGTATAACCTCCCCACGGTAGAGCATCACTAACTAATGAGGAGTAGGTCACGTTATTAGGCTTGCACCTGTTCAGTAACTGGGTGTGTCCCTCATAATGTGACTGGTGTCTCAATAATTAGCAGCAATTCACTGCTGTGAAGTACACAATTTAACTTGCTCATGCATAAATCAACAGGGACATCAACAGAATTCTGGGCACTGCTTCTTAAATATTTGTCATCTATAAATTATTAATTCATAGTAAACATTTTTCTTTTGTTTTCTCTCTATAATCCTCTAGGTTAGGTTCCATTGAACTCAGCAAGGATTATATTTGAGTCATACATGTATACAACTACACTACATACCACCCTTAAAAAAAGGTTAGTATTAAAATCCAGTAGAAATGCCAAACCTAGGCAGTCAATCTCCAGAACAGAAGGTAACCCAGATGTGTCCAAATTAGTTATTTTCACTGGGTAGTGGGAAGTGGAGAGACAGCCTTCAAGTAACAAAGTTGCCAGATGGGCCTAGAACTATTTTGAAGGGTTATTCATGTCACCATAGCCAATCTCAGTTTGGAAAGTATGAATTACAAAGTGCACTTCAGAGGGTTAAAGAATATATAAACAATTAAAACAAATATACGATTTCTCTCCTGATTAAACAAATTTATACACTTCTGCAGGCATAAAAATATTATGACATCCTGACATTTTTAAGCATACCAAACTTATAAAAGAGACAGTTCCTGCAGAGAGACACATCACACAATCATTATAATTTAAATTTTAAATGGACCATCTTTATACATACCCATCTTACCTCCATCCGTAATTGTGATTGCCTCCTCTGTTATTTGACTTCCGTGTCCCACTGATGTTTGTGCTTGGAGGTAGAACTTGTATCGAGTGCTGTAATTTAAGTTACATAATATCAAGCTGGTCTCATTGGCTGGAATGCTGATCTCTTCCAAGCGGCCTAAATCGTGTGTGCTATTAACTGTTATTGCAAAACAGTAAAAAAGGAATGAAAAGAATATAGTTAATTTCTCTTTGAGAACACAAGATATTGCAAGAATGTTCAAACAAAAAGAGCTACACAAGATCTTGAGTTCTACCATATACATTTTCCAGATATCTCCTCAATGTGTCACAATGAACTTTTCTAACATGGGGCATCACAAGCTAAGAATAAAAGCCATGTTCCAATGCAATACCAGTGAAGCAAAAACTTTACCAGCATAAATGGAATTCTGTCTTGCCTACTGCTAGAAAGGGGGCCTGGTACGCAATTACAGCATCTGCCTAGGGATGCTTGCTGATCATATAGGACAATGAGTGGCTGTCTTGGCTGGGGGCTGGCAATGTGCCTAACTTGCATACGAGCTGATCTCTTGTGCTTCCTAGGTGAACAGAAGGAACTGTTTGCATAAGGAGGTATTGAAACCTCTTTATGCAAGCTTGGCAAAAAGACAGCAGTTGTCCTTACTGCTACTGTTGGACAGAGGCTGAAATGTTTACTGTTCTGAAATTTGTGTCCTGTTGGGCTAAATGGTTCGGGAAGCTCCTGGATGGTTGTATGTCTCTGTAGTTTGTATCTACACAGAAAAAGGATATTTCTGCACTTCTAAGAGTCAAAGAATTCAGTTTAGTCAAGTCTTCTGCTTAGGGCATATTCCTGCTAGGAAATTTGGAGCAGTTGGCTGATGGGATGTGGTGGCGCTGTCGTAGGGACGTGGTGGCGCTGTGGGCTAAACCGCAGAAGCCTGTGCTGCAAGGGCAGAAGACCAAGCAGTCGTAAGATCGAATCCACGTGACAGAGTGAGCACCCGTCACTTGTCCCAGCTCCCGCCAACCTAGCGGTTCGAAAGAATGCAAATGCAAGTAGATAAATAGGGACCACCTCGGTGGGAAGGTAACAGCGTTCCGTGTCTAAGTCGCACTGGCCATGTGACCACGGAAGATTGTCTTCGGACAAAACACTGGCTCTATGGCTTGGAAACGGGGATGAGCACCACCCCCTAGAGTCGAACACGACTGGACAAAAATTGTCAAAGGGAACCTTTACCTTTACCTGGCTGATGACTATCTCGTAAATTGTACTGAAGATCCCTTTCTGAAGATAATTTGTTTAGGATTGATAGATTACACCTGCATGGAAGTGTCTATTTTAGCACAGCAACATATTAATATAGTGGGAATCCAGCTTCATGTTTAAAGAGGCTGCTGTGTAACCCACCTTTCATAAATGCAGGACAGAAGATGGTGTACTTGTTTAAAGGCAGTGACCTGTTCATTTAGCATTACGTCTTTCAATCAACTTAGAAAGACACTATTACTTCTATTTTGAGAATTGTTTTAAAAAGGGTTTACTTACTTGGTTGAAACTTCAGCATATATCCTACCAGAACACCATTTGGGTGAGAAGGTGGGCCCCATTCCAGAGTGAGAGAGTCCAGATTTTAATTAGTAATCTTCAAAAAGGAGGGTGCACTGGGAACTTTAGATATATAAAATGTTGCATTTTAAAGACAGCAAATAAAAAACAGAAATTTTAAAAGGCTCGAATATAATTAAAAATATACTGTAAATTGAGCTGTGTGGGTCTTTTTAATGCGCCATGAAGTTATGGTGACCCTTTTCAGTTTTTGTAGGTAGATATTACTCAGAAGTGTTTTACCATTTCCTTCTTCCTGGGCTGCTGTGGGATTGTGCAGCTTGCCCAAAGCTACACTGGCAATTTAGCATTATTATTGCCTTTGAATCAATTACAGCCTTGTTTATGCAAATATCTCAGTAGTTTACCCAGATGTCTCAATGTGTTCAATGGGTAAGGCAGTATTGTTTCTGTAATGATCTCTGGAGATGCCTTCTGTTAGAAGAGAAATCACCCTGCTAGTGTGGTCCTCGCCCTACATGGACCGCAGACTGCTCATAACTGAATTACATACTATTGTTTCAAGAGCAATGAAAAAATACATCCACAATGATAAATTTCAATAGTTAAGTTGTATTTTGATCTAGTCACATACCTCCTTCTGGTGTTTTAAATGTTGCATCAGAGGATGGTGGTCCTTCTCCTTTCCCATTAACTACTCTGACATTCAGTCTGTAAGAGCTATAAGGCTCCAGTCCAGGTACCATTCCATGTGTCTTGTTTCCGCTGAAATTCAGCATCTTTTTTTCTACATGTCTCTTAATTCGTCCTGATAAACTTTTCACTTTCCAGTAGTAAATCTAAACATTAAATATAATTTACAAATATTTAATCTAATGGTTTTCATAAATTGCACTTCTCACTACACATGGGTATATTTCTGCAAGACATCTTAGCTACTGGATATTGTTATGTGCTGTCAAGGTACTTCTGACATATGGTAACCGTAATACTGTTTTCAAGATACACGAGATATTCAAGGAACAGTTTACCATTGCCACGACCCAGTAAATTCCCAGGCAATTTCACCTAAGGTCTCCTAATACTCTGTTCACTACAAGGCTACAACTCTACAGCTAATATTCTATCCACTACAACACACTGGTTTAGTGGTGTAGATGCAGACTTAAATATACCTACAGTAGACATACTGAAAGCAACAGGGTTCAAGAAGACTTTAACAGGTTTATTAATGTATGTATGAGTGAGTCTGAAATAACTAGATTATCTTAAACTATTTGCACTGAGGTGTATCAAATTCTTAACATTTTTATTTGAATAAAATGTCTTCTAATTTTAAAGGCAGATTTATGTTGATCTTATGCATGTTTATTTAGAAATTAATCCCATGATTCCAACCTAAACAGCACATTCCAATTAATCTGTTCAAGCAAGTGTTCATGCCCTAGTCACACCTTAGATTTGATTGTACAGTGGTGCCTTGCTTTACGATTGCCCTGCATTACGATTGCCCCGCATTACGACAATCTTTTTGTGATCGCAAAACGATGATCTGAATGGGTTTTCTTCGCTTTGCGATGATCGATTCCCTACTTCGGGAACTGATTCTTCGCAAAACGACGATTTTCCTCCAGCTGATTAGCGGTTTCAAAATGGCCACTGGGTAAACAAAATGGCTCCCCGCTGTTTTCTGGGATGGATTCCTTGCTGCACAGGCACCGAAAATGGCCGCCCTATGGAGGATCTTCGCTGGACGGTGAGTTTCCAGCCCACTGGAATGCATTGAAGGGGTTTAAATGCGTTTCAATGGGCTTTTTATTTTCGCATTACGACGTTTTCGTTCTACAGCAATTTCGCTGGAACGAATTAATGTCATAATGCGAGGCACCACTGTACCATTTAAACATTTAGCCTAAGATCCTAATAATTCTCAATGAAGCAAAGTGCTTTGGTGGCATACTTGCATGACTGCTCATTGTAACTGAAAACATGACTTCTGGTTGTGCAGTGTGGTTCTGGATGCCTTGTGCTGTAATACTGTCAAACCACTCACACTATGGACAACTTCATAAGCAGCTTGACAGTTTGATACTGTCCTTCTGACATTAGGTTGCATATGTTTGGGGTTTAATGAGATTTTTATTACTTTAAAAGTGGTCATAAAATTAGCTTACAATAATGTAGAAGAATACTGGTTTTGGTAATATTTAATAACCAGACAGATTTACCTGCACAGTTATTTAGAAGTGGGATGTGTTACATTTTATCTACTATAATGTTAAGATTTAAGATAAAGAAATCCTAGCATGTACATGCTATTTAACACTACTGGGAAACTTTTATTTATATAAAGACTAGATTTAAATATATAAAAATGAAAGAATAACCTTAGCTTAAGTCATGGTATATTAATTTTCAGAACCATTTAAGTCACACACTTTTCAGGAAGCACTTTAGGGTAAAAAGTATCAGCAGTCAAGCTAAAAATTGTTTTTGACAGGAATTAACTAATGGCTGTACTTCTAGATAGTGAAACAGAATAGCTCAAGCAATTTCTTTAATCATCTGGAAGCTGACAGAATGGTGACTTCAGCCTAGAACTGGCTTTTAGTACAGAATGAGGAAAAACATTAAAAGTCCCAAACCTATAACCAGATATTCCCACCCAACCACAGAAAAGAAGGTAATTTTGTTACAGTAAATGCTGCTTAATCAGTTACTACAGTTAACCTACTTTATATCCCTGAAGATGACCTCGGACGTACATTAAAGGAACTGGATCCCACTCAGCCTTTGCTAACGTGCTGTTTATAACTTGTACCTGCAAATTTCCTGGTGCAACCATTGGCACTGTTAGGGAGAAATGCAACAAATCTCAGGTTAGGTTTACGTATGTATACTCATTATATTATTGCTGCACATGTATGGGGACCTCAAACAAAAAATTGTATCTTTGAAACTGGACCTTGAATCAGCACCAAATTTGACACAGATGTAGCAGACAGTCTTGCTCTGTGCCAGATTTGGTGATATTTGGGCAAACAGTTTTCAAGTTGTGATTCTTTTTTTTTTTTTTTTAAAAAGCAAAACTGTCCCCCTCACATACAGACACTGGCAACCTTCTGTGTCTGTAGATTTAAAATAGATCAAATACACTGAAAAGACCAACCTGCTTATCTTGATGGAAAATGGCCAGGGTTCTTTTTCAAAAAATATGAATGGTAGTGAGCAGAAGACGGTATCCTGTAGACCATCTTGACTGTTGTCATTGGTGTTGACAACATTCAGGCTGCCCTTTGCTATGCAAAGCTTAGCATCCATTTTCCTGCTAGCATGATGTTGTGAAACAATATTGGGCCATTTTCTGGCTTTTTGAATCATGGGTACAGAATCACTATATCCCACATTTTTAAATCAGAAGTTTTTTTTAAAGTATTGAATATATTGCATTACAAAGTGAGATCTGAGATGTCACAAAATTAAAGTGAATGTTAGTCTTATGATGCTTTGTTATTGTATTTTCACTGCCTTGAAGGAGGTCTTTATAGGATTTTGTGGCTTATCCACCAAAATAACTTGGCTGGTTTTGCATACAGTGGCCTGGCTCTAACTGGTAGGCCCAAATAGAGAAGGCTCCTTGAAGAAATGGGATCTGTTGATTCATCATTCAACAACAGAGTACATAGGTCTACTCTATTTGGGACTACTAGTTAAACTCAGGACTACACTCCATGACTCAGCATGTATACTATATGCTATCTTTGGGACAAGCTTGTTACTCCAGATTTCATGAATTTAGAGATCTGATTGATCATTTCACCAAAATTTTACTGTGGCTGAGACTTCAGAAGAGTAAGATAAATGTATATTCTTTGTGGCTAAGACTACCGGAAAAAAAATCAAATAATCTTACAAGTTTAAGAAACTTACAATCTTCTCCTGAGTGTCCAATTGTTGTTGAAGGCTCTGGTGCCATCCCTAAGTCATTTAGTGCTTGCACTTTTCTCTCATATGGAGTGAATGTTGGTGTACCAGACACAATATACTTAGATACATTGGCTACAACAACTGATGTCCATTCATCATCACCATCCTTCTGCCGCCAACTGACTTTGTACCGAAGCCCTGGACCATTGGACTGAAAATGCTTTAAAGGCTATTGTGAAAAATAAAGGCCCTCATTTAGAATTAGCTACTACATTTTCAAAGAATACATTTAAAAAAGAGAGACAAAGATGGTATAAAATTGCCTGACTATGAAAAATGTCCAAAATGCCACTTTAATATAATACTGCCAGTGAAACAGTATTGCAGATGTTTCCATATATACCAGTTTTCTTCAGGAACCTTATCTATCTATCTATCTGTTTGTCTGTCTGTCTATCTGTCCATCTACTATTTCGGTGCCTTTGAAGAGTCACGTTAGAACCAAGTATATTGCATTGAATTTACTGGAGGAAAGGCAGGATATAAATTTAACTAGCAATTGAATGAAATATTTCCAACCTAACAGTGGTTAAATTACAATACTGCACAGAAGACTCTGCTCATGATCTGAGTTCAATCCTGGGATCATGCAGCCAATTCAATGTTGACTCAACCTTCCAGCCTTTTGAGGTCAGTAGATTGAGTATCCACCTCACTGGGGGTGTGTGGCAATATATAACTTGCATAATTAAATTGTAAATTGCCCAGAGAAAGCTGTTAAGTACCAAGGGCCGATATGTAAGCAGCACACTTTGCTTTGCTTTTTACCCTGCTCCTCAACCAAAAAGGCTCCCAGAGCAGCTTATAAAGGTATATAATTACAGAGCTTCTGCACTCAACTTTCTGATCTACAACAATATGCAACACAAAAGGAAAAGGGATTGGAAAGGCAGAGACAAAATACAAGTTTCTAAGTTATGAACTCCAGTCATGAATATCTTTACTCTTACACAATATTTACATATTATCTACACACAAGAGTAATTTTGTAACAGAATGTATTTAGAATGTAAAGTTACAAGGAGTCATGAAAATATGAAGATTTCCAAACAGTTTATGCTGGCAATAATCACAAAGTAAATTACACACCCAGCAAGCTTCCTTCCTTTGCATGTTTACTTAAGGAGTCAGACACAACAAAAGAGATCATGTGGCTGGGGAGAAAATACTATAAGGGCAAGACAAGATAAAATCACCCACTCATCTAGTGAAGTCTTTAGTCCTGTGTGTAAACATGCTCTGACACCAAGTTGCCACAATAAAGTAATCAGGATTTGATCTTCACCACTGACTGAGTAATGTTATTGGAATTCCAGTAGGATAACTTATGTAAGATTCTTATGTCTTCCTAAGAACACGTTCCATTTCTCATTAGAAATTTTTTCCAATGGTGAAGGAAAAGAAAAGAAATACCTTCGTTTCTATTCAGTTCCCTAGACTAGACATTCTCAATGATGGCCCTGGCACATTCGAAGGGGGTCACAGACTGGAAACAATTCTTTTCACCCCACCTTTATAAGGTTTGTTATGCCATTTATACAATCTGGTTGTATTTCTTTCATATTGTGTTTAAGGTCATGGCCTGAAAAAGGTTGAGAATGGCTGCGTAGATTTCTGGACTTCAAAATAAATAATGCATCCTTACCTCCCACATGATCACTAGATTGTCAGGTTCTGATCCAGTTCCTCGAATGACACCAGGATTGTCATCTGGCTCTATAAATTAAATATTTATATTTGAGTACATTTCTTCCCATTTGAAATTCAATATTTTATTTTATAGACTCAGCTCTTGAAAATAAGTGATAGTGTTTATTTACTTGCAGGTTTTGTAAAATATTGCTCAGAAGCTTCACTTGGCTGGCTTCTTCCAATATCATTGACAGCTATTACACGGAAGGAATAATTAACATACGGTGACAGCTTTAACTGTACAGTTGTGAGGATTCCAGAGACCTCTGTCTGGTAGTTCCATGTCCCTCGTTCACGCATGGCATCTTCATATTCAATGATGAACTCTATAAATAAAATGAAAAACAATTCCTTCAGAAAACATTAATTTCCTTCATTCAACAAGCCAACTAGAATTATGTCATTGCAGAGAAAGCAAGGAAATGTGGCTTTAATTCAAAACATTGTGCCACAAGAGATAAAACTGTACCACTAATAATCTAACTAGAACTTTTTACAGAATCTGAGAAATGAAGCAATATGTTACTCCATCTTTCAATTATGTTTATTAAAAATTAAGTTTCAATATGTATAGCAAGACATACTTGTAATAGGGCTATTATTGTCATTGCCAGGAATCCAGGTGAGCTGAACACTTCTTTCTAGGTGATCTGTCAATTCCAAATCAAAAGGTGGATCAGGACGATCTGTAAGTGAAGTGAATATAAAGATACAAAGAGTGATTCTTTACGGAAAACTCTAAATTGGTTTGCTTTCAGCATGAGAAAATGATTTCATGGTCACTAGCATGCAACTGCGATGAAAATGAACAACTGATTGTGCTGGGAAATAATGTAAAAAGAAGAAAATATTTTATTTACAAGAACTCCAATGTCATATTTTCTTTTGTTTTAAGAAAAAAACTGTAAATTGAAAGTTGAGATGTACCATGGTTCACCAGCAGTTTCAGTGTATGATTAATGACTATGAACAGAGAACTACAATATATGCAAGTTCATTCTTATACAAAAATTTGAAAAGCATCCATATTTACAAAGAAACTGTTTCAGAATTACAGTGTTCAGAAGCTCTTTGTCAAGAAAAGTCATCTTAAGGTAAAGATTTTTAATGTGAATGTTTCTCCTCCAGGCATAAAATCTATAGTTCCTCATATAAATGTGTCTACTCTGATGGTTGTGGGGAAATAAGTGAGGCAACTAATATGGATTTTTTTTTAAAGTCCAATATTGAGAGAATGAGAACAAATGGCAATAATTGAAACATGTTTCCAGGAAACAATGTTACTAAGTTCAAAATGTTTATACAACATATCTTTGTATTATTATTCTTTATGCACAAATGTTGGATATGGAACAACTGATTGGTTCAAAATTAGGAAAAGAGTACGACAAGGCTGTATATTGCTTCCCTGCTTATTTAACTTATATTCAGAATACATCGTGCGAAAGGCTGGACTGGATGAATCCCAAGCGGAAATTAAGATTGCTGGGAGAAATGTCAAGAACTTCAGATATGCAGATGATACCACTCTGATGGCAGAAAGTGAGGAGGAATTAACCTCTTAATGAGGGTGAAAGAGGAGAGTGCAAAAAACGGTCTGAAGCTCAACATTAAAAAAACTAAGATCATGGCGACTGGTCCCATCACCTTCTGGCAAATTGAAGGGGAAGATATGGAGGCAGTGGCAGATTTTACTTTCTTGGGCTCCATGATCACTGCAGATGGTGACAGCAGCCACGAAATTAAAAGACGCCTGCTTCTTGGGAGGAAAGTGATGACAAAACTAGACAGTATCTTAAAAAGAAGAGACATCACCTTGCCAACAAAGATCCACATATTCAAAGCTGTGGTTTTTTCCAAGAGTGATGTATGGAAGTGAGAGCTGGATCTTAAGAAGGCTGACCGCCGAAGAATTGATGTTTTTCAATTGTGGTGATGGAGAAGACTCTTGAGAGTCCCCTGGACTGAAAAGAGAACAATCCTATGCATTTTGAAGGAAATCAACCCTCAGTGCTCATTGGAAGGACAGATCCTGAAGCTGAGAATCCAATACTTTGGCCATCTCATGAGAAGATTCCCTTCCACTGACTCCGGGAGACAGTGGAAGACAGGAGGGCCTGGTGTGCTCTGGTCCATGGGGTCACAAAGAGTCAGATACAACTTATTTATTTACTTTAATTTATTTATTTAAATCTGATAATTTATTTAATACTGTTTTAGTATTGTGGTTTTCAGCTGTATCTGTTTTTTAAATGTTTATCTGCCTTTGTTCGAACAAGGCAGGATGTAAACATGTAAGTATAAATAATCTCTTTTAGTGTTATTTCTGAAGTACTGTTATTACAATTACATATTTCCTGAATCACAATATCTGGAATACATGGCATCTCTACATTTCCCTGTACTTACATAGACTTAGTGACTGCTGAATTATTGGCTTGCTGTACAACCAACGTATCAGAAGTCCCGTTCTGACATATCATAGGCAAAAAGTACAGAAGGCAAAAGTGATCTTTGAACAAGGTAGCTCTTGACCAGCTGGAAACAGCTGGGCTTTTATGGGCTTCATAAGGGATCATTTTGAAAACAGTATCTGTATCAGCTCTGAGTAGGTGCCATACTGAAATTAAACAGTGACTTCTGAAAAATATGTTTCCGTGCATCCCTATTGCTAGTATTTCTGCATTTGTTTTTGACTCTGCACTCAATTGTCTAGTGATTTTTTTTTAAGAACAGCAATGTATAAATAATGCTGTACATTAACAACTGTCTCTGACATTAAGGGTACTTTTTCTTTTTAAAGCAGTAATTGGTATATGCATGGGGAATACATACAGTCATGAGGAATTTTGAGGACAAAGATAAAAAAAAGTGGTGCCCAGCAGAGCTTAGCATGCTTAATTCCTATGGAGGTCAAACTGCTTAACTGCTTAGCTATAAATGTAATGTTTCTTTTGATTGTACAATTTTTTATGTTCTCTACTTAGCAGCAAAAAATAAGCCAAAGACATCCCAAACTCAGAGACAGTGTCCTGTTGCTTATGTTGTTGTTATTTAGTCATTAAGTCATGTCCGACTCTTCGTGACCCCATGGACCAGAGCATGTCAAGCCCTCCTGTCTTTCACTGCCTCCTGGAGTTCGGGCAAATTCATGTTGGTAGCTTCAGTGACACTGTCCAACCATCTCGTCCTCTGTCGTTCCCTTCTCCTCTTGCCCTCAGTCTTTTCCAACACCAGGATCTTTTCCAGGGAGATTTCTCTTCTCATCAGATGGCCAAAGTACTGAAGCCTTAGATTCAGGATCTGTCCTTCCAGTGAGCACAGGGTTGATTTCCTTCAGAATGGACAGGTTTGATGTCTTTGCAGTCTAGGGGACTCTCAAGAGTCTCCTCCAGCACCACAATTCAAAAGCATCAATTCTTCGGCAGTCAGCCTTCTTTACACTCCAGTTTTCATTTCCATACATCGCTACTGGAAAAAACACAGCTTTGAATATGTGGACCTTTGTCGGCAAGGTGAAGTCTCTTCTTTTTATGATACTGTCTAATTTTGTCATCACTTTCTTCCCAAGAAGCAGGCATCTTTTAATTTCATGGCTGCTGTCACCATCTGGAGTGATCATGGAACCCAGGAAAGTAAAATCTGTCACTGCCTCCATATCTTCCCCTTCTATTTGCCAGGAGATGATGGGACCAGTGGTAGTTTTTTTTGATGTTGAGCTTCAGACCATTTTTGTGCTCTCCTCTTTCACCCTCATTAAGAGGTTCTTTAAGTCTTCCTCACTTTCTGCCGTCAGTGGTATCATCTGCATATCTGAGGTTACTGATATTTCTTA